CAAGGCTCACAGAGCCATTTATCTCTCCGCCCTTCAATTAACCCCACATGTGTTTATCAGCCAGGTTGGCACAATAAACTTTAACTATATCACTTTTTATAGAAGTGGAAAGCCTAGTCATTTTCCCAAGGAGCAACGGGTGGTTTTGAACTACGGAACTTGCAGCTAACGACCCAGCTCATAGCCATTACACCACCAGGGCTCCTTGAACGTGCTTTCGTGTTGAATTATGCCTAAAGGACACCCCATTTTACAAGCCAGCCTCCTTCCTCAAGGCACTCAGCTGCTCTCTTTCTGTGGGCTAGCAAGGCCCTCACTTTCAAGCTCAGTGAGAAGCTCCCTGTTCTGTCCCTGTTGGGTGCTGCTGGCTGCCTCTGATGCTGTTTTTGCCACTGTAACTTCTCCAGGTAGGGATCATGGGGTCCAAAAACTTGCTCTCTTCTTGGTAACTCTGATGGACATCTTTCCTAATATTAAACCACACAGTATCCCCTTGCCCTGTTTGAAAAACTGCCTCTTGGTTCATTTATAGTTTCTGCCTGAGAACCGTCAAATATTCTGGAATTCCTGTTCTTCACAGTGTTATCTATAATTTATTAGAATCCACATAGTCCAATGCCTTTGCATAGTTGATGAAATACAGGCAAACCTCTCTCCGGTATTCTCTGTTTTCAGTCAAGATCTATTTGATCTCAGCAATGATAGCCCTGATTCCATGTCCTCTTCTGAATCTGGCTTGAATTTCTGCCAGTTCCCTGTTGATGAAGTTGTACAATATTATCTCCAGCAAAATTTTACTTGCATGTGACATTAATGATATTGTTTAATAATGTCCCCATTCTGTTAGAACGGCCACAACTATGGATTTCTTCCAATTGGTTGGCCAGGGAGGTGTCTTCCAAATTCCTTGGCATAGCTGAGTGAGCATCTCTGGTTTGCATTCACTCGTTGAACCCTCTCAGTTGGCATTTCATCAATTACTAGAGCCTTCGCCAATACCTTCAGTGCAACTTGGATTTTTCCTTCAGCATCATCAGCTCCTGATCATATGTTACCTTCTGAAATGGTTGAATGCCAACCAATTCTGTTTAGTAAAGCAATTCTTCCTTCCATCTTCTTTTGATTCTTCCCGAGTAGTTCAATATTTCCCCCATGTTGTTGTCATTGTCAGGTGCCACTGGGTCAGCTCTAACCCATAACGCCCTTACTACAATCCCCAGTCCTTTAGCACCCTCACAAGTGTTGTGCTTAAGCCTTTGTTGCAGCCACTATGTCAGTCACTCCTGTGAAAAGTCCACCCTCGTCCCCTTTGTCTCTGACCCTCTGCTTTACCAAGCATGATGCCCTTTTCCAAGGACTAGTCTCTCTTGATAGCGTATCCAAAACATGTGAGACACACTCTTCCCTTCCTCCCTCCCAGAGAGCACTCTGGCTATATTCTCCCAAGACAAAGTTGTTTGTTCTTCTAGGATTCCAGGGAATATTCAATATTTTTCACCAATACCATAATTCAAAGGTACTAATTTTCAGGAGTAGAAAGTCTCATCGTTGTCCCCCAGAGCTGCTGGTGGTTTTAAACTGCTGACCTTGTGATTAGCAGCCCAATGCATAATCCGCTATGCCACCATGGCTCCAGTTGGTTTATAGAAAGAAGGTGCTCTTTAAACACATATGGAATAAACAGCATTTTGTTGAGGTTTTTAATGCCCACTGAATCATCTAATACTCAACTCAAGTCTTGAAATTTTTCTTCGGTTCATGTTGCTTGAGAAATGTCAAGCCTGTTTTACTCTTTTTGTTTTCTAACTTCAGGTCTTTGCACAATTTATTTTACACTTTATATTGTCTTTGAGAGCTATCTATATACTTCACTCAAGTCATTACAAGATGGTGTACTCTGCCATCTCGGCATCTTCTGTTCAGCGCTTTTACATCAATTATTTCTTCTCTTATTTTACCTGCTCTATATTCAAGGGCAAGTTTCAGAGTCCTTTCTGACATCCATAAATAGTTACACAGTGTTTTTGCTGTAGATTATGTCTTTTCAAGGGCCCATAGAATTTTAATTTCTCTCTCAAGAGTCAAGCTTCACAAATGTTGTCTGCGATGAACCGTGTCTCCTCTGGACTGTAGGCTTACAGCAATTTCCAGGCATCATGCATATTTCAGGATTTCACCATCTATTGAAATCATCCATCTGCCGACTCCTGATTTTTTCATGACAAAGCTAGCATCACAGGCTCCCAGAAGCCTCACGCTGGGCACCCCCTTTGAACTCTCCGAAATCATTTCACATGACCTTTCATCATGATCCAATGGTCCTCACAAAGGACTGAGGGATGCAAGAATTTAATTTTCAGGGGATATTTCATAAGATATTTGTAAATAAAATCTACTCTTGCAACTGGACCAAGCTTTTGATTGTTGTAATCCAATCAACTAATGGCTAGATCTGTTCATCCGGACCCATCAACCGCTATAATATATATGTTTAAGCATCTTACTCTATTATGAGGATGATAGGCAAGTATCTGGATGCTAGGAATAGAATTTAAATCTGAAGTTGGGAATCCCCAAACAAAATTCAAATGAAGCTGTGTTTGTTTTACTTCTGGTAGTGTTTCTTACTGTCATCGTATTGATGTTTAAATGGAGCATCTTAAAATAACAGGAAAGTCTAACTCAAAACAATATAGATGGTGCGTGCTATTGTGATTTTGTGTCTTTGAGTCGATTCTCGCTCACAGAGACCCTGGATGGCAGCATAGCATTGCCCTATGGCCTTTCCCAGGCTGGCATTGTTCCAGGCCAGGTCACTGGCATCTTTTCTCCTATAGAACCTCGAGTGGGTTAGAACTGCTGGCCTTTCAGGATGCGTCACCAGGGCTCCGTTGTGGTGCATAGAGTTTTATCGTCATTATTGTAGTGGTAAGGAAATGGGTAACAGCATTTGCCACATAGAGATTAAGGCTTAAAAGGAAACATTTGGAAAGTATTTTCCCCCTTTGGATAAAACTTATAATGTCATCCTATAGTCCTAGTGTACCGCATGCTTCGTGTTAACCGAATGCGTGGCTGTTCACCCAAGAAGCTTCAGTGGTGTTCAGAATGGTTTGATACCCATGACCAAAAGATTAAAATACCATTGCACCAACTCTCCTCGAAATTTGGATTGGTGTGGGTTTGGGGTTGATTGCTTTTTAAGAGAAAATCATCTAGAAAAGTAAATCAAAAATCAATGGCATCTTGTTGTTGTTGTTGAGCATCTTCATCTAAGATAGATGGGACCATTTTAAAAATACTAGATGGCTAAGATACAGGCGCTGGGCATGTTCAGAGATGGGCTTGCTCAAATTGTGTCTTATGACTCCTGAGTCCCAGGTCGGGTCAGAAGGTCTAAAGCAAATGTTTCTTATTAAAATACTACATCAGTAAATTAACAGACAGAACCCAAAGTCGAATACAATGAATTTTCAGAGTAAAACTAAATGTATGGATTTCATACAGGAATGGACAGACCACAAATTACACTGGGATCCTGAGGAATATGGTGGAATCCATTCCATTAAAGTTCCATCAGAAACCCTCTGGCTTCCTGACATCGTTCTCTTCGAGAAGTGAGTATCGCAGAGGGATAGTGCATTGGTTACATCAGGACTAGGACGAGGGATCTTAATTTGGATGCAATCATTCCGTAAAATGCACGGCTGTCATTGCATTTCTTGCCGTACTTCTGTATGGTCCTTCTTATTGTACATCTGAATGCTTGCATGTAAAGATGTGGTTTGACACACTCCCGTAGTAAGAAAGTAGTAAGATACAAACAAGACAGTCGCGGGTTAAAAAAACAACCAGACCTCCGTGCTAACAGACCACTAAAGTGAAGCTGCTTTAATTCCAGCGCTGATGGACGTTTTGAAGGCTCCCTCATGACCAAGGTCATCGTGAAGCACGACGGAACCGTCGTTTGGACGCCCCCTGCCAGTTATAAAAGCTCGTGCACCATGGACGTCACCTTTTTCCCATTTGACCGCCAGAACTGTTCCATGAAGTTTGGCTCCTGGACTTATGATGGCACCATGGTTGACCTCATTTTGATCAACGAGAATGTGGACAGGAAAGACTTCTTCGACAATGGCGAATGGGAGATCCTAAATGCTAAAGGGATGAAGGGGAACCGGAGAGAGGGTTTATACTCCTATCCGTTTATCACGTACTCTTTTGTGCTGAGGCGCCTGCCCTTGTTCTACACCCTCTTCCTGATCGTGCCCTGCCTCGGGCTGTCTTTCCTGACCATTCTCGTCTTCTACCTGCCTTCTGACGAGGGGGAGAAGCTGTCCTTGTCCACATCCGTTCTGGTTTCCCTGACGGTCTTTCTTTTAGTAATTGAAGAAATCATCCCGTCTTCTTCAAAGGTCATTCCTCTCATTGGCGAGTACCTCCTGTTCATTATGATTTTTGTTACCCTGTCCATCATTGTGACTGTTTTTGTCATTAATGTGCACCATCGCTCCTCCTCAACCTACCACCCCATGGCGCCCTGGGTGAAGAGACTATTTCTTCAAAAACTCCCGAAATTACTTTGCATGGAAGATCCTGTAGATCGCTACTCTTTCCCAGATGCCGACGAGCATCAGCTAGCGGGGGAAGCGAACGTCCAAGAGAAAAGGAAGCACAAACCAAGGAGCGATGGGGACAACGTTCTGGTGGCTTTCTTGGAAAAGGCCGTCGATTCCATCCGCTACATTTCCAGGCATGTGAGGAAAGAGCATTTCATGAGCCAGGTTAGTAAGCTGCTATTCTCAGACTCCTGCTGCTATCTTGATGTGTAAAGAGACTAATGTGGACGACAAAATCTGTCATCGTTCAAAATGCGACATTGTCCATGGTTTGCTTTACACACCCAGGGGTCTCTGTGGGGTGCAAAGGTTTGAGCTTGATGGACAACCCACAGAGGTGCCATAAACCAAGGCCTGATGGTGTGGTGGGTGATGGGTAGCTGCTAACAAAAAGGCTGGCAGTTCCTATTTGCTGGTCTCCACCAGGGAGAAAAATGTGGCAGCCTGCTCCTGGAAAGATTTCCAGCCTTGCAAACACTGGGGGGCACGCTATGCTGTCCTGCAGGATCGCAGAATTGACTGGCTGGCAATGGGCTCGGGGCCTCAATGGAGGAATAAATGACATACAATATATAACCTGCCCTGTCTGCCCACACGTGCGAGCTCCACCTGGTGATGATGTGAGCAGTCAGTAATGCAGATTCTTATTTTCCTTCTTCTCACCTTGCTCCTTCCTTTCAGCAGCCCTTCCCAGCGGAGCAAGGAGACCTGATGGCATAGTTGGCATGCATGTTGAGTTACTAACCACAAGGCCAGCGGTTCAATATCCCCACCACCTCGTCAAAGATGAGGCTTTGTACTCCTGAGAAGAGTTACAGTCTCGGGAACCCCCAGGCGCAGTTCTACCCTGACCTGTAGGGTCACTGTGAGTCAGAAACCAGACAATGGCAATGCTTTTGCGTCTCAGTGGAGTTAAAATAATATTTAACATGCAAATTTTCATTCTGCAGAAAACTGAAAAACTGGTCTGTTGCTTAGCACACACCCCCCCTAAATTGTATAATAGACCAATAGAACTGCATACTATATAAGGTTTCCTTCTAAGACTGAGAATTAGTGTCAAAAACCTATTCCCACAAACAGGCGTGGGAGGTTTTTTTTGTAACGAGGTAGTCTCTGCTTTCTCTGCCTTGCAGACACCGCCTAATACATCCTCTCTCCTGTGAGCCCTCATTTTTCAACCAATTCAAAGAGAAAGAAGCTAAATAAATAAACTAAACTCACTGCCACGGTGACCCCGTAGGACAGGCTAGAAGCGTCCCTCTGAGTTCCTGACACTGTAACTCTCCAGGAAGCAGAAAGCACCGTCTCTCCCCCGCAGAGCGGCTAGTGGTTTTGAATGGTTGACCTTGCATATCGCAGCCCAATGTGTGACCACCCAGTCACCAGCATGGCAGCAAGGCCAGGGCACCAGAAAGAAAGTGTGCTGTACAACAAGCATCTCAGCAATTCCTAAGGGGGTCTGTGGGTCAGTTGGTTTACATCTTTTCAAACTTCTAATAGAAGAATGCTAATAACCTTTAGAAACGTATTCTTTAAAGCATATTATTAATATGGAGAATTTGGAAAATGCAGAGCATGTAAATCGAAAGAGTCCCATCATTAATAATCCCACAATTTAACACTTTTAACCTATCTTCTTTGCATTTGCCCTAAGATTTTATTTCCCAACGACTGTGCACACAATACATTCAGGTTCTTCAGCTGTAGCTTCCTGCTGTAGCCACCTGTCCTTCAAGGCCCCCTGTAGGGCGGCAACTTCCTGTTCTGTTCCACCTGGACAGAATAGCCATAAAATGGGCATGGTTGTTTTCCCTTAAGAGATGAGAACACAGTTCTCTAAGACTTCCCTCCCCTTCTAGTTTGTTCCTCCTCCTATGACCCCATTCTGGTAGGCGTTTCTCTCTCTTCTCCAACTCGCTGGCTATCAAAGCGGACTTCAGCTTCCTCCCTCCCTTGTCAATTCCCATCATCTCCTACTCAGCTCTCCTCAGCGGGCAGTGTCTGCCATGATGCAGCCGCAGCAGCACACCCTCAGGTACAACGGAAGACAAGGAGGCCTGTGACTTAAGGCCCCAGTGGTTCCCAATGTTAACATCTGTGATGAATTTCATGTGGATATGAGGAAGCACCACATTAAAAACCAGGCTTTTCCCTGTTTGAACTTTAGTCAGTAAGGCTGACAAATACATAAATACCTGTTGTGTTTATTTTGCTTCTTTAAATGTTGATTAAAGTGTTCCTTTGAACCGGACATGCAAGGCCATTTCCCTGGGCTCTCTTCGTGATGTCCTGGGTAAGGATCTGAGCCTCTCTTGGAGGGGACGGGTGAGGTGCACTTTGAAAACCGGAGTGCCATAAATGTGAGTATTATTACTCTTTCTGTATTCCCGCAAGAGGAGTCAGGACCGTTCTTGGGCCTCTTGGACTAATGGCATCCTCTCACTCTTTTGCAGGTAGTACAAGACTGGAAATTCGTAGCTCAAGTTCTTGACCGGATCTTCCTGTGGCTCTTTCTGACAGTGTCCGTAATGGGCTCCATCCTGATTTTCACTCCTGCTTTGAAGATGTGGCTGCAGAGTTACCACTAGGAACAAGCCTCCTGAGAATGTGGACGACAAACCACAGAGATAACATTATATTTTAGAGCGGGCATCCACCTAGCCTGTAGCCTAGGCGTAGAATGCTCATGGAAATGAAACGTCTCTTGATGGGAGAGACCTTGGTAAATAGGGATTTGCCCACAGTTAGTGGATGGTTGCCAGGAGAGTGATTTGGGTTGAAATAAGAAAGAACCTTCTCGGCTCCTTCCCATCAGATGGGTGAGAAACTCATCCTCTACATTCCGAGACTTTCCCTCCTTGACGGGAGCAGCCAGTGCTTTGGGCCCTAATTCTCTGACACCAGTGCCCACTCTCAGGTATGTGTGTTCAAACAGAGAGATGGCAAAAGTCACTCCCATGGAGACAGGCCTCGGTGGCAGATGTTCTCAGTCTTTCTCTCAAGCACTCGCTGACTACTCCACCACTTCCTCTTTGGGTCCCCACCGTCTATCACTTTAGGATTGTTTGAAGGTTTTACTAGGGGGGAAAAATCCCTTTGGCAATTTCCCATATGGGACCACAAGTTTCACTGGTCTGTTAGGTTTTTACCAGAAAACGGATCTCATCTTTGATCTGGCTTATGAAGGTACCTCAGCCAACTTTCCAATGATGGATTCATTTTCTAGAATGTTAGAGTAGAATAGGGGATTGGGTGGGTGGGTGGGGATATATCTCTCTTAGACTAGAAATCCTTTCTACATTTCAATCCTCCTATCATTTGCCATTGAATTGATTCTGACTCACTGTTACCGTGTGTGT